TTATAAAAAAAAAAAAAAAAAACGTGACCGACTTTAAAAAAGAAAAATACATTTATTTTAGAAAAAAACACACACACTCCATTTATCTATAACCTTGTAATACTTCTAAAGTCAGAGGAAGAAGCAAACTTTATTCAGATAAACCTTCCCTGATACAGCAGAGACTTGATTCAACATCCATTTGATATCAATGGGAGTCTCTTCCCTGGCCTTCATAGTCGTTGAAATATTTTATTTATTATATCCCTAAGGTAGCAAAATACTAAAACATTTGCCTAAAATTATGCATGTTTAAATCACACACTGATGGGATTTGGTGATTCTGTACCTATGACAGCTTTATGATAGCAAATGTTACACCTACCACCACAACAAAACTAAAATATAAATATCAGCCTTGTTTTGCGATGTTAGCTCCCTAACATCTCATTTTGGGTTGACATTTTACAACACTTTCCAACAAAATAATTTTTAATGAAAAATTTTAGCCAAATGAATTGTTCTAAGCACTCAGCTTGAGAAAATGGTAAAGGCATGAGGTACCGTGCAACTGTCTTGTGAGACTGAGGAAATTGAGAATCCTGCTATAACTGCATTTGCAGGCCTGGAAAATAAAAGGTAAACGGGGATACAGCTGACTTCGGAAGTGGGAACAAAACTGATAGAAACTGGCCTCAGAGGACAGGCAGACAGATGTAGATATGGGAATTTCTTAACACAGTAAAAAACTCACCATTTATTTGGGAGACAGCACAGTGCTAGTACTCAGAACCTCCCTCCCAAAGGGGGTTTAGAAAAGAAAACAATGACAAAAAATGTACAGCTAGATTTTTAAAAATTCTTATCTTTTAGATTAATCTCAAGATTTTGAAGGAAATTAGTCGTAACAGCGGGGCTAGCAACACATAGGACATCAACATGAAATATTTACCTCTCCAGAATACACTCAGTCTTTTTTTTTTTTTTTTTAAAGCTGGAAATACGTTCACATGCATACAGAATTTTGTTTTAACAACTCAACCAGATCTGACCAGCGGCAACACCAATAAGCCAGACCTGCTCCCTCTCACTGGAGTTGGCAGCTCTACAGATAAAGTTTGCTCACCACCTGAAGAAGCAACTCGCAGCCGGGCAGCAAGCTCCTCTGATAGCTCCACAGGGAGCAGAGTCCAACTCGCCTTAGCCGAAGGGATCGTTACCATGACATAAGGCGCTCACAAAGGTGAGACCAGTAACGGTGGAAAGAGACCTGAAAGGAGATAGAGGGAGTCAAGTCTCCAAAGGACTCAGTGGAGCCTTCCTGAGAGAAAAAGTGGCAAAAAGTGAGTAATTTCCGGTGCAGATGACTAACGTATTAGCTGATTTAATGAATTAAAAAGACAAGTAGTTAGTATGTGCAGTAAGAGGGCAGCACAACTGAAACCTTCAAAATGGACGTAATAGGTTGTGTATATCTATATCCTAAAGGGATTACTATGATTCATGCTTCTTTCTAGGCTTTTTGCAAGCAACAGAAATGTCTTAACATATACTGATATTTTGCAGAAACTTATTCTTTCCATCCACTCCACCTCATCTATCTGTTACGTTCAAAACTGCCTTTAAAAAAAAAAACTTTTATAGCAGCATAAAACAATTCCAACTTCCACAGGAAGTTTCTGTGCAACTGAGTGGTGTTTAAAGGCAACAAGGAACAGCAGGGTGATTTCAGTCTTCTGCACTTATCTCTCGCTTGCATTCCTATAGGATATAGTATAGGCAAAGAGCAATGATGTGGCTCTCCTCCCTACCAACAGAGACAGGCGGGGGCAGAGGGCAACCTTTGGGTATTCCATCCACCACCCGAAAGTGGAAACTTTCCTTACAGCCCCTTCCACACCTATCCCACTCAGTGCTCGGTAGACAAAAAAGCCTCATCTCTCATGGTCTTATCTGAGGGGTCTAGTTAACAGTTCCAGGGTTGGTTTGGTGTGTTTTTTTTTTTTTTTTCACTTCTTGGAACTGAGACCAAACAGCACACGGTGCATGCTGAGTTACCATATGAGTATGAGTAATGTCCATTTTGTGAGAGTTCAGCGATTCTATTTGTTGTGTGGTGTGTTTTCAAGGTGAGATGGCTGTAGAAAGAGCACAGTTTCCCAAGCTAAACAGAATTCGTTTAAAAAGGGGATATGACAGAAAGGAAAGAATTGTCCCAAAGAGTTTCTAGTGCAAGCTTTGAAGTGGTATAAAAACCAGAAACATTCACTGATCTAAATGACGGACATGCTGTCTTGTATGTACCAAAAGGACAGTGCAATCTGATGGGAAGCATATTTCTGCATCTGGTTCTCTGTACAGAGACGAGTTTGTAGACTAGTAGCCCAGCTTAAAATGTGCGGGATCATAGTTCAAATCTCAGCAAAGCTGACTCAGCTCTTCACCCCTCTGGAGTAGGTGAAGGAAGCTGCACCCAGTTCACTAAGCTCTTTCTGAGGCAAGACCTTCAAAGTGGTTAAGAAGTGCTGCACTTGCCTTCCAAGCCCTTCAGCTTTCCTCTGTTCTTTGCACAGGTATTACACATGCCAGTGTTCCTCAAAGCTTTTGCAAGGTGCCCTTTGCTTGATTATGATTTCTTTCACCCCCTCCTCCGTGGAGGCACTGGCAAGAAACTGCTTCACAGTTCATGGGTTATGCTCAGAATCATGCAGGTTGAGAAGTGGGGTCATGCGCTATAGTTGAGCAAAGGTTCATGCTGCTGCCCTTGCCCAGCACGCATCCTGCCCGAGTTAATTTGTTAATGTTTAGATCAACTACCTATTGTCAGTCACCACACCTTGACTGTAGCTTGCTAATAAAGAGATAAAGTCCAGCTTAAATAACACAAAGCATAGAACAGTTTGGAAAGCATATGTTAAAGCGTAGCACATGTGAGATAGAGCGTATGTACAAACACTAAACACTAAGCTAAAAGAAAAACAAAACAAAACCCCAAGAGCAACCTTAAAAAAAAAAAATCTGTACTCCACTTGTGCATGAAAACCATGACTTTTAGCATTGGTTTAAGCACAGTCTTACAAAATACATGCCACAATGGGCAGGAAGAAGGTTTAATTTAAGCCTTTTGCACCAAAGTCCCTACTAACTTGCACCCTGTTTAGCTGAGCTGAAGTCAAGACCACGTGGTTCAAGCTGTTTTTCATATTTGCTCACGTTCTGAGGAGTATTATCATGAAGCTGTAAGCTCCTGTACAAAATACAGACACTAACTGAAACATCTGAGTTTATGTACTTACAAGTAG